CGTTTATTTGAAGACCTCGGCGGGAAAAGGGCGCTAGGTATTTTAATCAAAAGTGAACTTTGTCGAAAACGCTCCAAATTTCGCATGCAGTTTTGTTTGGGTATGTTTAACAATGTCCCGTAGTTTTTCCGCTAAGCTTCGCTTCGTTTTCGAGATATTGCGTATGCAGAAAAACCACTCGGTTTTCCTAGCGGCGTCTTCATAAACGAAGCAAAAACCAGCGACAAAAATACAGGACCACGTTTTTCTATTACATTGAAGACCACATGCAAAAATTCAAGCCCTTTCGCGAAAAATTTTTTTTTCACCCAAATCGTCACTTAGCATGGTTTTGCACTCACCCCTTCAATTATCATGATAATTCACTGTCGAGGACTGAATCTCTAAGGGTGTATAATATCTAATGCAGAGGCCAGGAGTCGACACTAGTTATTTATTCCCGTATTACTTGCCGTCATGAGAAAGCTACCAGTCCATTTTTCCCAGTTTACGTTTTGATTGGGTAGTTTTCTTCTACGTGGCGCAGTTGGAGTAGTCGCACTGTAAACACAAGGGCACCTTGCTATAGGGGAGAAACACCTAACCAGCATCTTCCAGAAAACATCATTTGGTCAACTCAGTTTTTTTTTCCATCGAGAGCCTGCACTCAGTCAGCTTGTCACTGTTCAGTAAGCAATGAAATTTAAATATATGTATATATATCTGTCTGTATTCGCAAAACATAGCCACAGAATATGACTTCACTGATAATCTTGATACAATTCTGTCCTAGAGCTAGCTTTCCACAAGGCTTATCGTGGCTCAAATAAAAGGAAATAACTCTCCTGTGTGACTCTTGAGGCTAGGAAGACTAAATTCACTGTCTTTTCATTGAATCATGAATGGTATAATTTAATTAATAATGCTTTCAACATGAAATTCGAGTGTAAATCAACACAAACGTGCAGATATCAAAACCGCATTGGAGAGCTGAACTTTCGTTTTTGGCAAGCCCCATACATTAATTATGCATACGGTTCTCTGTTTAACTAAACAATAGCCGAAACAAAGCTCCTTTGAGACTTATGCGTGTTCAATAACTATTAAATTTTCCTTTTTTAACTTGGAAAATATTATTTTCCAAGTTGTAGTGATGAAGCAGTTTCACTCCTTCACTCCTTCACTTCCTATTAGACATTTACTCGAGACATCAGTGGCAATCAACCCTAAAAAACAGAAAATAAATGAGAGCATTTCTTTTAACCCTAAAGGATACTTTGACAGCTAAAAATGGTAACGTTTCGTCATCAACACTATAAGTGAGACCAGAATCCTTGATTTTTACCCAAGATGATGAGCATCCCCGACCTTTTCATAGGTTTTGAACATCTGCCGTTTAAGGCCGTTTTACAGTCGCTTGCACCATGTCAAATTAGTTATTCTTTGAATTTCTGACTCAAGTACTCTATACCTTACCGCAGAAATGCTCTACATTTGATAAATTTTCGCACAAACGTTTTTATAAATATAAGCTTCTTTGTCTGTAGCTTCTATTTATAAAAACGTTCGTGCGAAAATTTATAAAATTTAACTGTAATTATAGAATAACTTATTTCCTGAAGGTGTCCGCTCATACAGGTTTAACCATGCTCGATTGCTGAGAAAGAAGACATTGAAAGTCACAAAATTGATGAGCTGTATGAATTTTTAAATGATTCAAGCCATGATTAAATGTTTTAGACGATCAACAGTGAAGAGAATTGAGGAGAATTCAAATGACGTGTTCCGCTGTTTATTTATATGATATTGTAACTAACTACACATAAACGAGAACCACTACGTGGAACTTACCGGGGCCCCGTGGGACACGGGATTGCATAGATATAGTTAACCTCTCGCACCCCTCCCCCCTCCTCTGTGGAGGCTAATACTTACTTTGAATTAACTCATGCAAAAGAAAAGCAACAAAAAGCACGAGAAAGGAACACAACTTCTATTATTTTCTTTTAAAATACTTTCGACTAGAGAGTCCTTATTAACAAGATAACACTGTGTTAAAGAGCCCTTATTCAAGTGTGAGTATTTTATTTTGATTTCTAGGCATTTTGCCTACACGGTCTACATTACACTTCTCATAGAACAAACATGCATGTTCATGGAGAGCCT